TTATGAAATTCACTTAAATTAACTAATTATATATTTTTTCTTGCATTTTTACTTTTATTTACTACTTGTCAAAGATGACTTACCTGCTTCAGTAACGTATCGGATGTTTGTGTTAATAAATAATTATTAAAACTTATCTATTTTTATTATAATAATATGTTTTTATAACAATTTTAATATCTACCAACATTTATTCACAACATAAAATAAAAAAAAAATATTGAGTCTACCTCACGTCTACCCTACATCATAGTTTTACATTTTTTAAATAAAATTAGAACGGCACTGATAAACCGGAATTTAAGTCGGCCATATTTGAGTCCCATCGCGGTGGACCTAAGATTTTTGATATGCTCCTTCCTTAGTCTTCTTATTCAAAGTATTTAGCTTATAAAACAAAAAACTTTTGATTTCTAACCAAAATTTTTCTTGACGGGTGATAATCAAAGGCCAAAATGACATTCCTCGCAAATTTTGAAGTATAATCAGTGGAAAAGTCAAAAGTTTGTTAACTTTTTCCAAGAATTGAAAATTACTACCACTAATTATGTCGTTCTGAATGCTTACATTAAAATTAGGTGAACAAACTTCTACGGCTAATTGATGCCCAGTTGCACCGTTTGTATAAACTTGGTTTAAAGGTTAAACGGTGATTAACTATATAATATTTTATTACAGTTCACTGTTTAGGCTTTAAACAAAGTTTACACAAACGGTGCAAGTGGGCATGAAACTACTAATTTATTCTACTGATTTCGAGGTTCTGAATGAAGCTTAACTCTTACCCTCCAAATTTCGTTCGAATCGCTAAAAGCACTTGAAAGAAAATTATAACAAGCCGAAAAAAAATTAAGACTTTACCCTCCTGTAGCTACGAAACAAAACAGAATCGGACCCATGTTGATATGAAAAATAAATCTTATTTTTACGTGAGGAATCTCCCCATGAGAAATGGCACATGTTTTTTGAAACACCCGTAAAAACTGCTATAAAACGTTGAATTTTGTCCCAAAGGAAAATATTAAATCGAGCAAAGATCTAATCGGCAGGCCAAGTCCGCAGGCTGGGTCCAAAGGCTGGGTCCTGGGTTAAAGTGTATGGGGGGCTATTTAATGACGTGCACTTTTATTAATTTTCTTATAGACCTTATTTAACTGTTTAAATGTTTTTAATCACAGATTAGTTTTGGTGTAAACGCAATGGCGTGTTTCCTGCACGCGTGTCGTCACCAAAATGAGGCCAAAGCCCGGAAATACATAGCGAAGATTTTATGGTTATTAAGTTACGACGATGACAAGAACAGTTTAATCGAAGCCTTGGACAAATATGCTGTCGGAGTTCCACCAATCCTGTGGCTACCTTGGACGCCACAATTGTTAAATTGTTTAATGCAACACGAAGGAAATGTTATATTAAACCTATTATGTCAAGTAAATATAGAAACATAATATTCATATTTCACTCCTCTAAATTTAATTTTATTTGTTTTTATTTTCAGGTTGGTAGAATGTTTCCTCAAGCTGTCTATTTTCCGGTTCGTATACTTTATTTGGCACTGAGAACGGCTAGTGCTAGGGAAACCAACACAGTTCAACAACAACAAGCCTCTCAGGAGTCGCAGGGTGGAGATAGTAATCAAGGTAACCATTTCTACTAATCATTTAGTAGCCTAGATCAAATATCTGAATGTAGAATGTATGGGAAGGGGTTAATCACCAGGACCTCATCATATAGTCTCAAGGCTTTGACAAAAGCCAGTATCTGAGACGGTTTTACAGAGGTTAGTTCTACATCTCCGATTCCATGGCACGAATGGTTGTCGTTTCGGCGCACCCAGTGATGAGGTGTTCTGATGTTTCCCCACAAATTATGCATTTGCCGTTGTTTCTTAGCTTTAATCTACTGAGGTATTCGTTGAGGAGACAGTGTCCTGTTAAAAAACCCCGTGACAATCCAAAGATTGTTCTTACTAAAATTAAGGAAAATCTTCGATTTTTCTCGGTCTTAAGTTCTGAGAAGTTCTACTGATGGAGTCTTCCAGGTTTCTGAGTTCCACTTTAAGTTGGTTTCCAGTTGGGAAGAAGAACGGTTCTGGTTCAGTTAGTGGAGTGTTCGCTCGTTTTCTATTTAGATCGTTTGCTTCTTCATTGTCTTCTGTCCCTTGGTGGGCTAGAACCCAGAGTAGGAGGTCTTTATTATATTTGTCTAATTTGTTGAACTTCTCTAGTCATTCTTTAATCAACTTCGAATTGAACTTTTAAAGCTACTTGACTATCGAATAATATGGCTATTTCTTGTTTCCGATAGTTCCTATCTAAGATAAGTTATACACATCTTTCGATAGTGTAGATTTCTGCCTGAAGGATGCTGGGGTAGGTACCCATTGGTTCTGAGTATTTAGTTTTCGGCCC